ATACAGTCTTCACCTTATTTGTCTCACTGAGGACATGACCATTATGCTTATTATACAGTGCCCTTTTCAATGAAGAGCAGAGATGTGGTAGACAAATTAAGCCAGCCTTTCAAGGGCATGTTAATAAATGGAAGGAACATCAGAACAACTTTTTATTTGCTGCCTTATTTATCTACTGTTTACCGTTTTAGATGTGTTAACTGTCTGACACGTTCCACATTCATGGCCAAATTACTGCAGGAGTCATTTTCTAATTACACTATCTCACAATATGTTGCTTAGTGATTTCCCTAGACATTTTTGGGGACATCAGATAACTTCATATTTCATTTGCCTACATTCTCAGAATTGTAGGTCATCCAACAATGTCGTTCTTTGGCTTCGGCTCAAAGCCAGTCAAAATCTCTTACAGTCTATGTGTTATCAGATGGGAAGAGTTCTGCTTGTTTCTTTCAAGAAGACTATAAAGAAAATGGATCTGAATTCAAATTGTTGAAAAGCCAAGAATAAAACTGAAATTCCCCTGTAAGCAGGACATTTTTCTGCCTGCGCCTCATAAAGTATACACACACAGCACACTATATCCAGACCTATGCCCTTCCTGGTATTTGGTTTTGTGACGGACAACAAAAGCTTCTGGCTAAGCTGTTTACACAAACCTCGCTGTTCTTCGGTTTTCCTTAAGTATCCCTAGTTCCTTCTGTCAGAGACACCAACCCATCTTACACCGTGTTTAGAGATAAGATCCACCTAATAGCATGAGTCAGCAATAATTATTGGGTTTTACATACGGTTCTAACCCCTCAGCAAGGATGACATAAGGAGCCCTGCATCCATAATGCAGGATCATAGAAAAACCCCGCTCCAGCACACTCAAATGTAGCTGATATCCATAGCAGCAAGCACATCAATATCTTTTTGGGCTGCAGGCCTGCCACACAGTGCAACTCTCAGTAAAGATAAAGACATTCAAAAGGGAACTAATGGAAGAATTAATGAACAACACACCTCTAAAACCCCTCTGGGGGGCCAGTTTAAAATTGTTGTAACAAAACACCACAGACTCAAAGAGTGACAGAACCTAAACATGGTCATGAAAGAAAAGTTACAAGAAATAAAAGAAGGGGTACTGGAAAACTCTGCTCCTGCAAAAAATATTGGCAAAGTGCAGCTTGATGATAGAGCAGCTGGAGAAGGGAATGGTAGCCAAGAATAATCATGTATTGAGGGTACTGGTAGAGAAGAATTCCTGACTCAATTAACTTTACAGGAAAATCTGTTGCAAGATGAAACCAAGTGAAGATGAGGAACTAACTTACAAGAAGAAAGAATGCACCAGCTCTAAGCAGGAGAATGTATAACCCAAGAATGGAGGTGGGAATGCCCGTTTTGATTCTGATGACCAGGAACAAGTTGTGAGGGAAATCAAGGATTAATCAACTACACCATTTCAGAGAGCAAAAACACTTCTCAGATTCAGTCCAAAGCCAGGTCTGAGTTCAGAATGTACAAAAATTAACAACCATCTAGGCTGGAGGAGTAAGAGAAAAAGGAAGAGATGGATGCCTCCCTCCTGTTTCCAGAAACAAAGGATTATTTATGGAGAACACATTTTATCATTACAGACACAAGTGGACTGTTAACCAGAGAGCAAAGGCCATAGCTGGATAGTCTGCTATAGGAACAGAACATTAGATTGATCACCATCTACTGCAATATTGTTGAATTTTGTAGATCATTCTGGGTGAATTGCACCCAACAGCAGAGGTGCAGTGCATCACGTAAGCCCCACAGAGTGTTCCAAGGGAGAGCTACACATGAAGTCACCCTGCCGGGGAGACCTCTGCACACCAACTGTGTCTTCCCGAGGTTGTCACATAAGGTGTGATTTAGGGCAGGCCAAGGGAGGAGTCAAGAGTTGCATTATTATATAGCAGCTCATGCAAAGTAGCACAGAGGGTGATGCAGTCACTGATCTAGTCCACAGGTGGGAGTGGGGGGGGAGCAGAAGGGATTCTGTTGCAGTCCCACTCTGAATCCAGACTGTACAATCTCACACACATCATCCATGTAAACTCCAGTTATTCAGTCTTCATGCAGATAACAGCACTTTCAACAGGATCCTGAATGAAATTTAAATGTGCTTGGTTTCATGTTTGATTTCACTCGCAATATGTGCTTTGCTACATCTGTACTTTTTATATTGCTTGGAACTAGGAGTGGATACATGAGCAGGAGCTAACTCAAAGAATAATTTAAATAAGTGGACAGAGGATTTTCCATTATTTGACTTAGTGAAATCTAACTGGGTCATTAACTTTGATTGTTTTAAAAATATATAGACACCACAAAAGCAGTAACCTGATTTATTTAAAGTAAGCAGCCACACTATCAGACGAAAAGAATTTATCTAAAGATGACTTCAGTAACTCCTCACTTAACGTCCTCCCGTCCTTAACATTGTTTCGAAGTTACGTCACTGCTCCATTAGGGAACATACTCGTTTAAAGTTGTGCAATGCTCCCTTGTAACGTTGTTTGGCTGACTTTACAAGGGAGCATTGCACAAGTTTCTCTTCTCCGCCTCCTCCCCCTCCCTTCCAGTGCTTCCCTCGCCGCCAAACAGTTGTTTGGCGCTTAGGACTTCCTGGGAGGGAGGGAGCGAGCGAGCGGGGAAGCAGCCCCCTGCTGGCAGGGCCACCTGGAACACAGGGGCTTTAGGTGCTGCAGGGCCCTGGGTTAAAGGGGCCCCAGGGCCTGGCCTGCAGCTCTAAAGCCCTTTTCGGAATGCGGCCCTGCGAGCACGGGCCGGAGGACTCCAGAGGAACAGGGGCAGCCGCGAGCCAGCAGCCAGAGAGAAGAGGCGCTTTCCCTTTCAAAGCCAGCTGGAGAGAAGCGGTGCTTTGAAGGGGAAAGTGCCGCTTCTCTCAGGCTGCTGGCTGCGCGGCTGCCCCTGCTCCTCCTGAGTCCTCTGGCCCGTGCTCGCAGGGCCGCATTCCGAAAGGGGCTTTAGAGCTGCAGGCCAGGCCCTGGGGCCCCCTTAGCACAGGGCCTGCAGCCCCTAAAGCCCCTGCATTCTGGGTGGCCCTGCCTGCCGGGGGGAAAGGAGGGCAGCTCCCAGAATTGCTGCTCCCAGAATCGCAGCCAAGTGGGCGGTGCCACACTGCACAGAGCCACCTGCATACACCCTGCATCAAACAGGAGCTGCCCCAGGTAAGTGCTCTGCACCTCCTGCTTGCCCCAGCCCTGAGCGCCCTCCCGCACCCCCACCCTGAGTGCCCTCCTGCACCCTAACTCCCTCCCAGACCCCGCACCCCCACCCGGAGTCCCAGGAGTAATCCAGGGGCACCTCCCCACCACAGTACAGTATATAATGCCTTTTGTCTGCCCCCCCAAAATTTCCTTGGAACCTAACCCCCTACATTTATATTAAATCTTATGGGAAAATTGGATTCGTTTAACACAGTTTCACTTAAAGTTGCATTTTTCAGGAACATAACATTAAGTGAGGAGTTACTGTACTTGACTTTATATATGCTAACTTTTTTAAACCAGTGGTTCTCAACCTTTCCCAACTACTGAAACCTGAGCCCTGCCAGCCACATATTAAGCATGTATCTTAGCTTTATAGTGTCCCCTGTGCCATGGAGCCCCGGGCAGTTGCCATCCCCTAAAGCTGGCCCTATACTTGCAACAACCCTAAACCTGTCCTGTGACCTTCCCCACCCTCCACAGGTCATGACCTATAGGTTGAGAAACACTGATCTAGATGAGATGATGTACCCCTGGAAAACCTCTGAGTACCCCCAGGGGTACACGTACCGCTAGTTGAGAACCACGGTTTTAAATCATGCACAAAACTACTACAATTAGAATAGCTTTGAAATGTTTGCTTTGGAGTGTGATTTTCAAAAGTGTGTAAGTCAACTACCCACCTCAAGTGCCACTGAGTTGACTTGTACTCCTGAGTTATACACTTTTGAAAATCCCAACTAAAATGCACATGACTCCAAAAACATTTCAAATTGTGTAACTTGTCGCAGACGCCAAGCCGACAGCAACAAAGTAATTTGATTATGTACTATCAGACGGGAAAAATTTTAAATACACACTACCACCAGGTAACTCCTGTTGCACTTCCCACCAGCTCTGAGTGGTAGAAGTTGTCTCCTTGGTGATTTCAGAAATAATGACTTTCAAAGGTTGTCTTGTACTTCTTGCTTCCCTACATAATTACTATAGTTACTGTCCCTTAGTTGTCAACCTCAAAAAAAGGTAGGGGTGAAAAAAATCAAGGAGTCAACGGAACTGCTCACATGCTTACAGTTAAACACGCACAAGTATTTGTGGGATCAGAGCATAAAGATGTAAAAGAAATACAAAGAATTTGAATGACCACACCACAATTTAAAAGTAGAGCATAAATGACTTCAAAAGACTGTGTTTACTATAATGTTGATAGTACTTTATATGTCTAGTTCTGTAAGTCTTGCTAACAGTTGCTTGCTGAGATTCTGCTCAGCCAAGACATAGCCTCGGGATAACTTCAGGCATTTGAGGGATTAACCCTTCCATAGCCTCGACTTTGTCCTTTCCTACATACCAATCTTTTTGCTATCAATGATAGAAATGAACATACAAAATAGATATATTTAACTTAAGTATAAATCTACTCATGTCCATCTTATAATATACTGATTATTTGTGAACTATATGCCTTGCTTATTCCTTCTTTAAACACACATTTCAAGTGACAACATAAAATCTTATAATATATAGCTTCATTTTTTCCTCACTTAAAAAATAAAATCAGGATAGCATTTACAACAGCATCTTCAGTTCTACAGATGAATTTCTTGAGACTTAAACTACCAATATGATAATACTTGAAATATTTACAAGATCAGGAAAAAACATTAAATTACCACAAAGTACAATTTCCTGTTATTTGCCTCCTCAGTGACATAGGTAGACAGAGATGCCAAGAAATTTCTAACCTACCTGCTCCAACTTCTTTTTCTTCCTCTTCAATGTTGTTTTTGATACTATCATATTCCTCATCAATTGTCTGGTTGCCACGTATCTGAGACAGAATTCTCCGTGCTTTCTGAGTTTGGCCTTTCTGAATCAGCCAGCGGGGGCTTTCAGGAAGAAACAGGAAGCCAAAAAACTGTATAATTGCTGGAACTGCTGAGAGGCCCAGCATGTACCTACAAACAAACAAAAATACCTTTAATTCAAACTTAAAAAATTCTCACATCTGCAAGTGATCCAGCTCCCATTAGCCACTTTCTAAAAACACATCCTGCAGCTTAAATAACCAAATGGGTGAATGTATGCTTCACAAAAGCAGCATCCAGGATTTTCGATCAGAATCAAAAGGAATCTTGAAGAGACTGTTGTGCTGCTTACATTTAACTTGGGTGTTAAAAAAGACATAATATTCATTACAAAGACATAACTTTCAATTTCAGTTCTTTACAAAATAATTACTTTACAACACATCTGCCTTTATGGCCGCACTTCTCAGCGCCACCAACAGAAGACTCAACATTATAATTGCCATTTCTACAGGGCAATTCAAGTGGATGGCCCCAAAATGTAAAACTCCCCCAAGAAGTTTCCGTGCTGTTTTATAAAATCCCAGGGGATGGAGAAAAATAGCCTCAAACACAAATGCTACAGCAGTCTTAAAAATACCAAATTCTTCACTGGGAAACCCTTCAGAAAATGGGGAAATGGCAGAAGTGCTAAATTACTTTTTTGTTTCAGTTTTCTCCAAAAAGTTTAGTAGTGATTGGACGTCTAATATAGTTAATGCCAGTGAAAATGAGGTAGGATCAGAGGCTAAAATAGGGAAAGAACAAGTTAAAAATTACATAGACAAGCCAGATATCTTTTAAGTGCCCAGGGCCTGATGAAATATATCCTACAATACTCAAGGAGCTGACTAAGGAGCTATCTGAGCCATTAGCGATTATCTTTGAAAAGTCCTGGAAGACAGGAGAGATTCCAGAGGACTAGAAAAGTGCATATATAGTGCCACTCTATAAACAGGGAAATAAGGACAACCTGGGGAATTACAGACCAGTCAGCTTAACTTCAGTACCCTGCAAGATAATGGAGCAAATAATTAAGTAATCAATTTGCAAACATCTAGATGATAGTAAGGTGATAAGTAACAGTCAGCATGGATTTGTCAAGAACAAATCATGTCAAACCAACCTAATAGCTTTCTTTGACACGGTAACAAGCTTTGTGGATAGGTGGAAGTAAAGATATATCACATGTAAGGCTTTTGATACTGTCTAATGAGCTTCTCATAAACAAACTAGGGAAATACAACCTAGATGGCGTTACTATAAAGTGGGTGCATAACTTATTTTAAAACCATTCCTAGGAAGTAGTTATCAGAGGTTCACAATCAAGCTGGAAGGGCATATCAAATGGGGTCCCACAGGGATCAGTTCTGGGTTCAGTTCTGTTCAATATCTTCATCAGTGATTTAGATAATGGCACAGAGATACACTTATAAAGTTTGTGGATGATGCTAAGCTGGGAAGGGTTACAAGTGCTTTGGAGGATAGGATTAAAATTCAAAATGATCTGGACAAACTGGAGAAATGGCCTGAAGTAAACAGGATGAAATTAAATACGAACAAATGCAAACTACTCCATTTAGGAAGGAACAATCGGTTCCACACATACAAAATGGGAAATGATTGCCTAGGAAGGAGCAATGCAGAAAGGTGTCAGGGGGGGGGGAAGCATAGTGGATCAAAAGCTAAATATGAGTCAACAGTGCAACGCTATTGGAAAAAGAAAGAAAGAAAGAAAGAAAGAAAGAAAGAAAGAAAGAAAGAAAGAAAGAAAGAAAGAAAGAAA